AAGTGGCGGCGAGACGGAAGTGGCCCGGGGAACCTGAACCCCGACATCAGGACGTCAATGCGCACAAAAGGCCCCTTTCTCAGGCGCTCGTGCGGGAGGTGATCCGTTATTTTCTGAATGATATTGCTGCAGGCTTTGAATGTCATTTATACAGAGGAAGCTCTTCAGGCGAGCAGTGGTGGTCGAAATTCTTTGGAGTCACCATCTCCCTACGTCTGCAAAAACTATGGATTATTGATTTTTTTAATGAGCGGAATAAACATGATTAAAATGTTTATGTAAAAATATGTTTCTTAATTATCATACGTCATAAATTCTGTCATACCGCTTTAGGGGAAAAGGACTCTTAATAACGAAGGGTGACTTGTAATGGGGTGGAGACGCACGAAATGTCTCTGTTCAGTTCCCCTAAATACTGCCATATGCAGCAGCGTTATTGCGCTTTAACGTTTCATACAATTTGCGCCCCACAAAATTTGACGCCCATGGCCAGGGTTTATTGGGTCCATATGTATATCTACCACTGCTGTCCGCGCGAATTTCCAGAGTGGGGACAGCTGGTCCAGAATGCGAGCCAACCCTTTTTGTCGCGTAGGACCAAACGGCAGATGCGGCGGGTGACTGCGAAACGGCAGATGCTTTGGACCAAATGGCAGATGGCCGTCTCATACCCATCGCAATTGAACTAGGTTGGATTAGCTCTTTCAGAGTTCTGAACAATGATCATTCGAGGAGACTTTCCGGTGTGTATTATTAACCGAACTTACGAATTGACATACGTACATAAATTGTTTAGTATAGAGTAGAATTCTTGATATTTTTTATGAAGGATCTTGATTGCTTTAGCTGCGAAAGAGAGTTAAGTTTTTAATTGTTTTCACTTCCCTTTTCTTTCTTTTTGTGTGGCGCTTCTGTTTAGTAGGAGCCCGCAGTCCGTGCTTTGTCTGCTCACGCGTTTAGCACAGCATTTGCATTTCGGCTATGTTTGCCGTGCGCAGACTTGTTTGTGGTGGCAGCTTGATTGGGCAGTCGCGACAAGCAGAGAAGGCCACGCCGGGCAGAGACGGAGTGGGCGGGGGCGGGGATGCGCAGAGCGGAACGGGCCTAGAGGGAACGGCGGGATGGAACCGAGCGGACCATGGCATGGCGGGGCAGAGCGAGGGGGCGGAGCCAAGCACGGAAGGGAGGAGGAGAAGATGGGATAGGGCAGGGCCAAGAGGGGAGGGGCGGGCCAGGTGAGGCGGGGCGAGCGAGGACGGGGCGAGACGGGCCAGGCGGGGCGAGAACACGCAAGATGGGATGGGAAGTGGGTGCTGGGTTGGAGGACACAGCGGGGAGAGATGAGGCGGGGCGGGGCGGTATCGTACGTGGAAGGCCAGGCGGACCGGGCGGTGCAGGCAAGAACTGCGCGGGGCTGAGCCGTCAGGCGGGCGTGGGCGGAGGAGTGGGCGGGACGGGGACGGAGGGGCGAGGGCGAGGGTGCCTTCTGCGTTCGCTGACTTGGGCCGCGGGAGCCACAAATAGAACGTTTAGAGGCTTGGAGCGCCTGCTCCCCGCCCCTCGCCGCCGGACCGCGAGCCTCCTCTTCAGATGCAGAGATGCAGATGTGACGGCCATGTTGGAAGGCGCTGGAGATGCGCAATGGGTGAGAAGAGGGTTCTTCCAGCCTGTTCGACGCTCGATTGCTCGTTCTTCAACGATTCTCGTCTTGAGGTGTCCCGCACTTCAAGTGGTAGTCCGTCGCTTCGTGATTGCCTTCGATTGTCACTTCGGGAACAGGCATGGGTGTTGACGTTTAGGAAATGTCTTTATTGTCAGTCAAGATGAAAATGTTCTGCCAATTCTAAGCGTGAAGATTATTGTAGGGTTCTGTAGGTTTCCGTAAGTTTCTGGGACTTCTCTCGAAACTTCTCGAGAATTTAAGGCATAAGTCTGACTTAACTCTCCAGTACTCGACACCACGTTATGAATGATTTTCACTTTTACCACGTTTCGTTCTTGCTTCTTACTTATAAACTTGGAGAGATCCCATTACTTGGCCATCTTTTGCGTGTATTAATATGCATATTTGATATACTTACAATCTACATATCAATTGCATCTGCCCATTTTCTTTATCGAATATAACAATATAATATCGATTTCCTGCAAATACTTTGCCAGTGAGTATAATACTGTTCCAATACATCCGGAAATGTATTTCTTGTAATCATACTTTAAATTATATTCATGAGGAGGAGAATTCACCTCGGCTATTAACTGATTAGTCGCTGTCGCATATTTGTTTCTCTATGCTCTAAACCATTTGTAGATGTTTACTTCCTGAAATGTATATCTTGATGATAATGGTAATGATAAAAATAGTAGTAGTTATAACAATAACAATAATAATAATAACAATAATAACAATAATAACAATAATAACAATAATAATAATAATAATAATAATAATAATAATAACAATAATAATAATAATAACAATAATAATAATAATAATAATAAAGGCGAGGAATGTTTCACGATAGTTACAAAGACGCAGTGTGTTTGTCGTTCGGGTGGTCCTTGGTTCGAGCGCTAACGGTGTGGTTTTCAACACCACCTAACGTCCTGGGCCGGTCGACGTCCCTGTTTGGATGGAAATTCTAAGGACAGGCAGATCGAACATTTCCACAGATCAGAATTCTCTGAACGTATTTGAAAGCACTGACGGCAGCAACAACCAGCAACCGGCGTGCTTTCGTGCTATCCCAAGCAGTACACAGGGCAAACCCTAGGACCGCGCGATAGAAATGCTTTCCCCTTCTGCTTAACGCTCCTCCATGATCTCCAAAGAATGGAAAGAGTACGCAGATGTCAGGTCAAGACTCTAATCGGATTGCAGAACCGTAGGAAATTCGCTCGTGTGCCAAAACCGAGCCCAACTGCGGGGTTAGGCCGTGTGATGCAACACAAGGCCTTCCGCGCAACTACACTTGAAAGACAACGGACGACGGAGCGTGTCCAAGGCGGGATTGCAATCCGCGTTTTGCAGACGCACTAAATCGGCACACGCCCGTTTACCCATTCGACTATAGTCTTGTGAAAATCGATGACGAAATCTATTTGTCTGTGTTCAAATAAGATGAAAGCCGGAATCATTTGGTTTTGGTTCTCGGTGATCTACATCCCTTGGCCAACGATAGACAGTTTTGCGCAATAGGTGGAACACCTAATTACAGTGTACTGGAAAAAGCAGCATTACGTAAGTGCTGTCAGTGATTGTTGCTGTATTGAGAAAATCTTACTATATTTATTTCACAATCATCTCTACCTGACAATGGTTTCCTCGGATCAAATAATAAATCATAGAAGAGGTTAAGAATTTAGAACTTCGAGATGCCTATCATCACCAAACATAGATATGTTTGAGTTGGTTCGTGGTCAAACGCCAAACGCAGGTATCGCTTACTTTTATTTTCAATCTGTTCTTGGTTTAAAATTGACCTTCATTTATGTTAACTTCCTTAATGGAGGTTTAATGTAGTTTAAAATTCTGTATATTAGTAATTATTTATGTAACTAGAACAGAACGTGAATGTTTGGGGTACGAATGTAAATGTTGAAATAATATAACACAGACATTTTCCTACGATTTGCCTAGGTTATTTTTAGTGCGATTTCATGGCAAATTACGCGATTATTCTGTGGGAATCATTCTCAATATGCGATGCGAGAGTCATGTGGGTTCAAGTTGCGGCATTGTTTTATTTACATTGCGGTAACCAGTGTTTAATTTACTTTGGCGGATGCGTCCCACAAAGTGCTTTATTACCATACGCATACCGCGATGTACAAGTTTTGAATCAATAAACTGAAAACAGAAGTGTTTTCCGTGCACGAGTGCTGGGAAATAAGGGGCAAAAGAATTTGTATTTGACCAGCGTTTCAGAATCGTGCACAAGTACATAAAATTACATGGACCGGGTACTGGAAAACATATTCATATGCCGGTACTTGGATGTTTAATGCAGACATTTCCATGATGTTTCTCTTCGTATGAAAAAATAAAGAATGTGGTCCTAGCAATAAATAAACATGACATGGTTTGCTGTAACACAAATAATTTTTTCAAAAATTAAAGAACATTTAAAATATGATGAATAATGAATTTACTTGTTTTTCTAATTTTACATCCAGTTTTTACTGTATCATTTTTTACATCAGTTTATTTTACCATATACATTTTTAAAATGAATGAAATTATTGTGTGAAGCTTTATTTTTTACTATTCTTAGTTAATTGTTTTGAAAAATAGAAATGTGGACGAATATTTGGTCCAGTAAAAAGAACCTCTATGAAATGGTATTTTTTTTCTCATAGTCCCTGATTCATTGTGTAGTTGCCAAAATTATTTCAATTAAATTTAACTATTGTCTCCGAAACCTATAGATCTGTTTTCTAGAGATTGATTGTTAGTGATTCCTGGCGCGTCAACAACTAGTGTCAATAGTCCCGTAAGTGTATTGCATGCTTTTGCTCGGGAGGCGGCAGTGGTCTTTCCCCGCCAAACAGGTATCTCCTACAAGCGGGGCACCGCCCCAGCCGGGACAAGCTCTAAGCTCCCGATCGGCCTCCCAGCATGTGTGGTAGTGTAAGGGGTACGGACCGGCCAAGGACGACGAAGGAAAGATCGCGCGCGGTCCGTGGTCCGTTTGTTAGGGTACAGCTCCGGTATTCGCTTGGTGTTGTTCGGAGAAACCACGGAAAACTACCGATCGGAGCAGCCGGCTGCTAGAATTCTCCTCTAGATAGCAACTGAATTCGAAGTTTTCTACATAAAATGCTTTCATCATGACGTTCGTGTATCCCATCCAGCACACTTGACACATTCAACTTCACGCGAGCGCGTTTGTAGGTACTGATCTGAACTCTTAGATATTGGAGCAGATATAAATGTTTGTATCTGAATCTAGTTTTTTAACGTACTTGTATATCTTTAAATGTCATTTATTTATTGAATTGTTGTTATGTCATTGTAGTTTTTAATCTAATGATAAGTAGACATTTCTCTATAACTTATTGCTTTTGAAATGTAACTTCAATTAAATGTAACCTCAATTTAACATCTCCCCATAGCACGTCACACACAGTTTGTAACTGTTTTTGACGTAAATAAATAAATGTACTTAGAAATGTTTCCATTTCTCATTAGTTTTTATTGTGGTAATATCGGGGAATTATGTCATTGATCCATGACTTTTATTTATGTTGTGTAGAACATGACAAATGTCTTGTTAGTCAAAATCAAAATACTGATTCTTCCTTCAGTCTGCACCTAGATTTCTATCCATCGTCATTTACGTTTGTGAGGTAAATGTCTAAGTTTCTATGTCGGCATATGATTTATACAATTTGCTATATGATGAACCGATGTCGGTTTTCCTTCTCGCCTTGATTCGCGACCCCTTAGCCGTCAACAGCTACGGCGCAGACGGAAACTTCGTGCGAAGCCACTTCGCGGCGCGTGGATGCAACTCAGACGAGCCGCATCGTAGAATTTCCGGTTGCGGTTAAAGGGGGAAATGTAGTGATTCGGGAAAACGTAACGTCTGTGAGCATTCTCTTCAGGGGGAAAAGTGGCATTTTGTTGACGACGATTAAAACAATAGTGTTACATTGATACGAGTTGCATCGTACACTGTCGTCAACTCATTAGACATTGTACAGGCGCATAGATACATGAGGTTGTTGGTCACCGCGTATATCTGGAAATATGGGAATTGAATTAGATAAGGAATGTTCAAATTCCAGTTATTATATTGGCTTAAGGGGTAAAATTACGATCTTGAAAGATACCTATCAAAATGTCGCTGATGACTTCCAGAAAAGAAGAAAAATATTAAAAATATTTAGAAATTGAAAAATAGTAAAAGAAAGAACTTCAACTAATTTTGAACTTTCGTCTCTTATTTCTTTATTCTGTTAGAACACGCAGTAGAAAAAGTACGAAGAATCCGTTTCTAAAGTAACGCAGTCATTACGAATACTTTCTTCCTTTTTCATATAAAATCCAGCTCATGTAAGCCCATGTTCGACATATTTGAACAAGATGGATTATTTTTTGTGGATACGTCAGTGCTTAATAGTGAGAGGTCATTCAAATCTTAAAATCCATAAATTCTTGGAATCCTGAAAATTACTCTAGATTCTAAAACTGAAAATTTTCGGGTTTTTACTTTCTTACACACTATAGAACAAGTTAATAATGGCGTGGAAAAAATATATTGTACTCCATTTTTTGCAAATGGTGTTGGAAAATTTTGGGGAAGCACTTCATATTTGTTTTAACAATAAAAAGTTTATAAAACTAATAAAAAAATGTCCATCTACAATTTAAAAGGAGTGTTACATAAAGCATCTTACTGACATTTAAAATTAATCTTCTTAGAAACTGAAAAGTGTATTAAATACTTTTTATCACAGTAAAATAATGATAATAAATTTTTAAAATATTGTTTATGTTACCCAAAACTATAGAATTAATCCCAGGACGAATATCCTAATAAATAACAATAATTATAATATACAATGTATGCCCTACATATTGCACTTTTTTCAAACGGCTAAACCCTATTTCCTTCTTTGTCCTTCAATTTCAAGGACCTCTATTCTAATCGTTTCGTGACTTATCGTTGCATATACCTAAATAATGCGGATTCTTTGGAAACAAACTGGAAACTTTAAATAGAGTTTGTCATATTTACACCTCTGAGAACAAGTGTTTTACAAACAAAGAAATCGTAATTCGATCTAAAATACAAAAAACTTTTGTTGTTAACTTACACTTGTAGTTAACCCCCCCCCCCCGAAATAAATCGACCGACGAATATTCGCGAAGTGGCTAAATTACCGCCGTTCAGTAACATACTATCTAGCGACACTTCACCATTCTACCCAAACCAACCCACCTCAGGTAATTGACTCGGACCACCGGTCCCAAATAACAAAAGCTATGACTACGTGGTGGCTCGATCAGAAAATTCAATCTCGTTCAGAAAAATAACGTATTTCTGAAATGGGCGGCCAATCTACCGCTCACGCGAGAGCTCGAGGACTAAATTCACTGACAGTTCATTGATGTTTCTTCAACGGAAGAGACAGTTCAATTTCAAATACTACTTTAAATGAATAATACAACAAATTAAACGTCATGTGTCGATTTGCGATCGGATACAGAGACCTTTCGGCTCGGTTTTACCCTTCAACCGGGCATCCGCCAGCCCACTGCGACACCCTCTGTCCTTGCCGGGGAGTGACAGGACTTATGCGTTGTCAAAGATAAACACCCATTGACGTGTTGATGTAGTTGGAAGAGACGACTGTAGACGGCAGTTTAAGGGAGGATCTCCTCCTGCCGGGCAGTATTGCTTCATTAAAAATACTCCTGCTGGCCGCAAGAGCACTATGATATATGGGCCTTGAAGAGCGTATTTCCAAAATGAACTTCCTTTTCCATTTGTATTCTAGTTTTTTGTATTGATATATTATAAGACATTTCTCCATGGTCCTGACAAATATTGTGTTAAAATTGCGTTTCTCTGATGTTTAATGGTATTCGAAATCCGATGAATGCGATCGTGAACTATCAGGCTGAATATGAATTCATTCTGTTCCTAAAAAAGGGTTGTCATTTTAGAAAGTTCTTCCATTACTCCACGAGAAGAGGAAATACTAATGGAAATATTACATTTAAAAAAACTATATGTGAGACATCCCTCCCTTCCTTCCCCTCAGAAACCATCTCTTGTTCATCTAATGCCAACGCTATGCGAGGCTTGGGTCCTTACCAGCGAGTGACGCCGCCTGTGGCCTGTTGTGTGTTGCAGGGGCCGTGCCTTGAGCTGGCGGCCGGCTAGTGCGCTGCGGGGCGGCGGCGGGGCCGGAGGGCGCGGGGCCATGACGCTGCGCGCGCTCCACCTGCGCGCGGCGCTGCTCACCTGCGCCGCGCTCTGCGCCGCAACGGCGCGCGCAGTCGACACGTGTAAGTACTCAGCTGCAGCTCCATGCGGCGCGGATGCCCGCGACGGCCTGTGGACCGTTTGGGCAGGGTGTGCACACTGCCCGAGTGAAAACAGAAACTGAATGGAAATTGGATTCTGATAGTGTATGAGCGCTTGCAGGTCCAGTTTTAAAGGAATCAATGTTAAACAACGGGCCCAAATATATTTTTAAATTCAATGTATTCTAGTAATAACTAACGTATAAATACCATTAATGTTTATATTTTAATTTTATAAACAGTTTGAAAGTAAACAAATAATGATTTTTTATTAGTGTTGTATTACTCCGATCTGCTGCACTAGAAATTGTTTAAACACAGCCAATGTTGAAAATATTAAATTTAAAAAGTAAGTTAATTGTTAATATTAAGCAAATAAATTTGCAAATAATGTCACTGAATATTGCGTACTGTTTTAGTTTTTTATCTGTACATTTTGAAATCCCCGAAGAGATGCCAACTTGCAGCCGTCCACGGTATGAACGGAAAGTAGTATAATACGTAACAAAGAGTTGAATGTATTATGGCAATAAAGCCTTTATTCTTAGGCCAGAAGTTAAAAATATTATTATTGTTAATATTAATATTTTTAGTAATATTACTGAATTAAACCCAAAACGTATTTCTGAACGAACTTATTTTTATAATGCGGCCAAACAGAAATCTTGAAAGTGAAAATGAATTCTTCGCAGGCCATTTACGAAAACAAAAATTTAGATTATCATGAGTAGTTTTCATGGCTGTACATCTGAGTCTAGTGTAATTTTTTGTTGTTTTTTTTATTTTTCGTTTTGTCGAAGTATGTACAAAGGTGCTAGAGGTGACGAAATTGACACTTCAGTTTTTGGGCAAGATGTGATCCTTTTGCACCTACCAGTAATGTCGTATTTAATAAAGGCACAAAATGTGACATTGTACATCTAAATAACGTTCCATATCTATGAGATATCAGGTATTGGGAAAAGTGTTTTTAATCTGTGAATTCCACTTTTCCTTTACATATTTATGTTGGAAATGGGCGCTGCATGAATTCAAATATTGTTTGACATTGCAGAAAAAGGCAGTGTGTACACCCTGCGCAAGTAATTTGTAATAATAATTGTAATTATTACAGGAAAGAAATTCGTCTATTCGTATTTCCAGTATACGACCACTAAATGTTTTGTTTTTAATTGTTTTGTTGAGAAAAGCTAGCGATAATAGTATAATGTAAATATACGTAGATTTGTTGGCTGTGGAATACGCAGCACAGAAAACGATAAAAACATTTATTTATCTACATATTCGAAACACGTAACTTAAAGACGAAAAATTGAATATAAAATTATTGAATGGTTTTGGGTAGAAGTTTTTGATACAACGGTTTTACTCGCACACGCTTAATGTATATTTAAATTAAGGTGGGTTCAAAAACAGTTTCTATAACTTTTGGAATGGTGCAGATGCGTAGTTGCAACTAAGAAAGTCTCCAGGTTCAGGGCGAAAGTCGCTTGCCTTTCACCACAGGTTCTGGGTTATATTCCCATAGAATCCCTGTAGAACCTCATATGAAAAATGTTACGACAGAACGAGTTCGCCTGCTTCACAGGGGCTAGTCAAAACCCTGTGAAGCGTCAAAAACCTTACCTTATCTTACCTCTATTCCTTCCCAATTCTGGCCGATTGGTAAATGACACAGGGCGCATGCGAGATGCGAACGCAAAGACGCTACCCGTCGGTGATTCCCCGATTTGACCGTGACTAACTTGACTACGACTTCTCAGCGACCCGTACATGGCGCTTGTTACGGAGGATTACTCCAATAATTGTAAATGTTAACGGAGGATTACTCCATAGTGCGCTCAACGCTCTTTAAGGAGTTAGGAGAAGCGTTGCGTCTATATAACGCAAAAGACTAAAAAAAGCATTGGCAGCTTCCTTATTAATGTTTTAAGGATTTCTTGTTGAATGAAAATGACCTTTTGGCTGCAGTAAAGTGTGTAGCGACAGATAATTATAAATTTGTGCAAGGGCATCATAATGAAAGTGAAGACAAGTTTTGATTACAGTTATCAGCGAACATTATTATTTTAATGATTAAATCGACAAAGACCCCTTCACTTATTGAAGTTCGCAAAGTTAAAAAACTGTGTACTTAGCTTCCTTGTAGGCAATTCATTGACTTGCAAAAGTTCATGTTGATATCGGTTAAAATAATATGAAAATGATTACGTAATTTTCTCAAGAGTGGTTGGAACTTACTGAGACGTTCTGACCCATTAACAGGAAATCCCTGCAAGCACTCCATATTTCACAAAAATTGACGTATAGCAGATCAGCTCAATTATATGCTGCACTGAAACTACGATCGAGAGGCAATAACGAGCACTCAGCAACAGACACGCCAGTATTTATAGGTTCTCGCAAATCACCAAGGACGGAGAGAGAAGCGGCGTAAGTCGAGGAGGAAACGGAGGAGGAGGTAGTGGCTGGCGAGGGGAAAAGAAGAGGAGAGAGCGGGGTGCATGCACAGGCGTGGGAGGAGGCGGGGCAGTAGCAGAGGGGGCGGGAATGGAGGGTC